CGGGGTGTGACCGGTACAACGAGGTTTGACTTATATCCCTTTGTTATGAGCAATACGGAAGTACTTCAGCCACACACCACTGTCACGTGCCTGATATCTGACTATTCGTTCGTGGGAAGCCCAAGCGACCGCTTAGAGGGCACTAGTACTAGTACTTTGCACTCTTGACAGACACCGTTTTTTTTTCTCGCTCTGTTTTTTCCTCTTTGTTCAAACCAGTACGTCTGCACTAAATGGCCGTTATCGTGTCGATGGGCTGCTCTGTTCTCAGAGATACAAACGTACCATTGCGCATGAAAAAAGTAAAAGTAAATGAAAGCTCCTTAAAACCGGTAGATCCTACTTCTTTCTTCCCGTCTTTCATTTCTCTTCCCATACCTGAGTGAAATCCTCGTCCTCCTTCTCCCCTCCTCCTCCTCATCATCATCTTCGTCGTCACCATCGTCATCGCCATTATCACCATCTCTTAACAGGAGTCTGTTGACATTAAATATTCTAATACAGGAAGACAAGCGCAAAACAGAATTCCTCCCAAACAGTGATAAAATAGATTTACACCGCGAACCGATACTACACACAATCTATTGTAATAATCCGTGTGTCTATCGAGGTCTTTAAAATAGGCCACACGCTGTGGCCCAAGTATTGGCAGAAGAACCAGTCACTGTTGTTTTTTAAAATATATATCATACTCTTTATTCGATTTTGTGACCGGTATGGGACACTGCAGTTGTCACATGTTAAGAGCGTCAGTCGCAACAGATGTGTCAGTGCGGGATGTGCACCACCCCCTTTTGTCGTAGAATCTAGGCCTGTTGTTGCGGTGAATGGGTCAGCAGGAGATTATATGATGAGTCATATCTGAAGGCATAGACATGGTTATTAGCGTAATACATTATGTAAATATATGCAGAAAGCAGATTTAATCTGGGCTCTCTGTAGCCTTAGTTGATGCTATTGAAGGATCTCCAACATTACATTCTTGAACCATGTTTATTTCAGTAGTTATTTTAGGCGCTTCCACCATCTATATCTAGTCGTATTCCACATGGTCCCTGGATTCGGAGGTCTTCTAGTCTTATCAGTATAGAAATGAGAGTCAATCGATGCAGTAAGCTTGCAAAACGCACATGATTGATCTTAGGCATAAAAAGGACAACCATTGCACAGAGGTTTACACGACCAGTTAATGCACAGCCAAGACTACGTCATGGATGTATGTTGTTTATATTTGCGTGTACTTGTAGATGAATGTGCGAACGAGTCAGTCAATGTAGTTTTTATTGAGGGCTTTGGGTGGAGATAAAGATCTTTCGTAACACATTTCATTGTCCTGAGGCAAATTAATATTACCCGGAAATTTCATGTGGGGCTTATTATAATAAGAAAATGTATGTATTATATCACAGAACAGACAATGTTCATTGCTGATCTATCTTTATAGATCCCTACGTTGTGTAATGTTGAGACAAGTGTTCCCGGTCCTGCCCATACCGGTTTTGTCAAAATCTAATTTAAGCATTAGGTTTTGAATCGTGATGTTTTAAGTCCTTACTCTGTTGATTTGTTTTAGTTGTATTCTTTGACTTCCATGTGCCATGTCCGTATATCATTATACGTGCCCTAAATTCCAAATGAGACCACGTCTTTCTTTAAATGGAGAACAAAAAAATGAACATGACTTCTTGCTGAAAAAAAAATAATCTTTTTTTATAATATGATTTCACTACAAAGAAGACAGCCCGTTGAAAGATAATACAATTTAAGAATGTACAGCTCTTAGTTCTGCCTCTTTTTGGGGTAGTTTGCCCTAGTCTTTTGAGTGCGTATCATTTTACAATGCTGTATGTTAGCCAATGTCTGTTATCATTATCATATTCATCGTCTTCTTCATCATCATCCTCCTCCTCCTCCTCCTCATCCGTCGTCTTCGTCATCGTCACTTCCACGTTCCCGGTTAGCGATGTAGGTTTTCTTTGTGTTCTCACTGCGGTCCCTATATGACGTTTCGTTCACTTGTGCGGTTTTTTTTCTAGAAATCTATATATTTATGTAGTGTCCCTTTGTGTAGTTTTTTTTCATACTGCTCTTCAGTTTCAAATGATTTATTCGCTTTTATGAATGAGTTGATTCATCTGCATTCAAAAATTAATGATCTCGACTAAGGTGTTGTTGCCTTTATTCCTGTTGCTGTAAATTGTTTGTCATTGTCGCTCCTTTCTATCACACACACACACACTCACACACTCACACACTCACACTCACACTCACACACTCACACACTCACTCTCTCTCACACTCATACACACACACTCACACTCACACACTCACACTCACACACTCTCTCTCTCACACACACACTCACACATACACACACGCACACACCTGTTCTCTGACCATACTTGTAGTAGTGCCCACCTTCTTTCGTTGTGGTTTCTTCATGATGATACGCTCATTAATAAGAACCTTTGCATGTGTAGTTTGTATGTATATCTGAAGAAAAAAATATATAATAGTCATAATGACACAGATGATTTTGTATGTGACATCGTTCACGTATTTACAGTTTTCAGTGAAGAAGAGCGTACCTTTTTTGTTTTAAAAATTTCAGTGCTATTTTTCTTATCAGATGCCTTGATCATTGCTTCTGTTTATTGCCGTCTCCTGTAAATTACTTGTTGTGAAGCAGAGACAATGTAATAATGATATAGTTCTGATGTGTTCTGATTGTGTGTGGCCAACAGGTCCTTCTGTATACAGTTCTGGAATGCCATCAATGCAAATGCTAGCTATGATAATGGAAACGATGAGTGACATTGCGCATTTTATTATTATTACAATTTTGTTTTAGATTTTTAATGTTACGTCCTCGACTCTGGACTTACAGGCATTCGTTTCTGTATATTATTGATAAAGATCTGCCAACACGCGCGCATGAGTGTGTTTGTGTGTGCGTGTGTG